GGAATGTGCAACATAATATATGAATAGCATAGTCAAAAAGCATCATACACAACACATGAATGTCTTTAGTGAACATCTAAACTATAAGCCATGACTTTAGTGAACATTCTAAAATAAACCACGGCTTTTAACCTAATAGCAGTAATAAAACACAAACAGCAGCCCAACACCAACATAAGAAGCAATAGAAGTAAGAGACAACGCAACAATTGAACAATCAACAACAAACCACATAATACAATGGCAATGGGACCAAGAAGCGCACACAAACAGCACCAGTAGCAGCACAGAAACAACATATGAAGCAACACAGAAATTGAATAACGAATAACAACAAAACAGCAACATACCCACTTCTAACAAAAACACATAGCCTAACTGCACCAAGCAAGATCTACGCAACACTAAGCAATTATACAGCCCGTGCATCCTAAAACATCCACCATACATCCCATTACTCAGTTTCGATTGTTCCGGGAAAAAAAAAGTGCAACACTTTCACCCAAATAAGCATTTTCGCAAAGTTCACCTTCCCTTTAGCTCTATACACAAAACAAACGTTCCCTTTAGCTTTATACACAAAACAAGGCAACTAGCTTACCTCCTTGCGGGAAGACTTTCCGTGGCCATTGGTTTTTTTTTTGGAAAGGGTCCTCGTTACTGAATGTCGCAGAAGTAGCGGGTCCTTGGATGATGACCACTGCGTCTGATTCTGAGGTCAGGGTCTGGAAAATTGCAAAGTCGAGCTGACTTCGAGAAAAAGGAGATCAAATCCTCGAGAGAATCCCTACCCATCTCACGTCCCCAAAGGAAAATATCGTCCATTTGAAATTTGATTTTGAAGATCCAACCTTATTTTCAAGCACGTCGAATATACTTGACCAGAGGTTTGCCCGCGTCCAATTGCACGCTGTACCCACGATACCACTATTGTCACCGTTAGCCTGCTCCTCCACCGCTCGAATCAACCGCTAGAATCAAGATTCAAGGGAGAAGGGATGCGGAGAGATTTATGGACTGGATATTGTTTGGTATTGGTATCGGATAGTGTGCTAGAAATAAAGTAAAGTCGTGTTGCCAACTTCATACTTTTCATGTGTACCTAGAAGACACTGATCAAAAATCAACATGTCCGCACTTCGCTCTATTTGAGTCTAGTGCTTATCTCTGTTCAATTTACCCGCCAAATCTCACCTTTCCTCGAATAATTTGTATTCCTATGGCATCAATTATCAATTTGCAGAAACGGGCCTTGGAATTTTCCTTCCTCATCAAGAATTCTGACGCCCATTTCGTATTTGCTCGTCACTTTAGTCGCAGCTTGAGGAAGGCTGAGTTTTTCTACACTTCTCTTCTCGATAAATCCACCCACAAATTCAATCTCACCCAAATCCACAGCCAATTACACGGACACGGGTTGCAGGGAAATGGTTTCATTATTACTAAACTCATCATAGCAAGTGCGGGTTTTGGAGAAATTAGCTACGTGCGCCAGGTGTTCGATGAATTTCCTAACCGGTATGTATTCCTGTGGAATGCAATTCTCAGAGGATACTCTATGCATAACATGATTGAAAAAGTTATTGAAGTGTATTTTCGAATGCAGCATGCTTCTGTGAGCCCAAATGCGTCTACATTCCCGTATGTACTTAAAGCTTGTGGTTGCCTTACTGCCTTGAGCTATGGCCGGGCAGTCCATGCACAAATTTGCAGGCTTGGGTTGGGAGACGATACATTCTTGCAAAATGGGTTGCTTTCGTTTTATCTGAAGTGTGAGGAACATGATCGTGGCCGGGTTGTTTTTGATCGTATGAGTGTTAGGACTGTTGTCTCTTGGACTTCGATTATCACATGATATGTACAAAGTGGACAGCCTGTGGAGGCTTTGAGACTGTTTAGAGATATGTGGAGATCAGCTGTGACACCTGATTGGATAGCTTTGGTTAGTGCTTTGAAGGCTTATTCAGATGTGGAGGAGTTGAGTCAGGGGAAATGTATACATGGTTTCATGGTTAAAGTGGGGCTTGAGTTTGAGATCGATTTAGGAATAGCATTAACTTCATTGTATGCTAAATGTGGACAGGTGATGTCTGCGAAGATGTTGTTCAATCAAGTGCAGACCAATGATGTGATTCTGTGGAATACCATGATCTCTGGATTTGCTAGAAACGGTTGTGCTATGCAAGCATTGGACCTTTTTACAGAGATGTCTTCCAGAAACATTGCACCAGATGTTGTGACTGTACAGTCTGTAGTCTTGGCTTGCGCTGACCAAGGTTCACTTTAGAAGGCCAGATGGATGGAAAACTATGTTAGCAATAGTAAGTTCAAGAATGATATA